ATAGCTTGATGCAGCCTAGAATTTAACTAATATGTAGGTCCACCTTAATCCCTTAGGGGGAGTTTGGTTTGATGGAATGGTTTTGAGGGATTTAGGGGGGGGGGGGGGTTGGATTTGGAAGATTTGAAATCTCTTGTGTGTTTGGTTTGTAGGGTTTGGAATGGAATTGAATTCCATTATTTATAAATAATTATAAAAATTATCAAATTACATTTTTATTAATTGATTTTACAAAACAATTGTTTTAAACATATTTTAAAACATTATTATATACAGATCCAACAAAATCCCATGAAATACCAACCACCCCCATGGTATTTCAAATTCCTACGTTTGTGGGATTTCAATGAAATCATTCAGACCAAACGGGACCTTAATGTATTTGTGACCTGTCTATGAAGTGTTAATACATTTGATGGGTTAAGAGCACGGCTTACATCAGTTTGAAAACAGTTCTCACTTCAAAATATATGATATCCGTGTCTCTTGGCCTCTGGACGCATGACCAAAGAACTTTCTTTCATGGTATAAAAAGAGTATCATTAAGGTTGTTGTCTGTACACATTCAATCCTTGCATCATGACCCATTCAATGTGTGCACCTGTTCAGCAGTCTTACTCTGGGTTATACCTGATGGGGCGTGTTAACGGTGAAATCTTGTTTCACTATAAATATTATCCATAGGTAACTCCATGACTGTCTGATTAGTTTCAGATTGAAGCTGAAATAATTCTTTTTAAGATACCTAGTGTTAGCTCTCTCCATTTATAGTTTAGAAAATGGTCAATGGGTTAATGTAAAACAAAAAAAAAGTTTGAGTTGAGGTATTAAGGGAAGGTTTAGTCTGTTAAAGAACAAGATGATATTGCTTTGGGACTTATAAATATTTGACTTGATCCAGAACTTACCAGGATTCAGCTTTGAGTTGGTGGTGTTAATTGCTGAATGCTAGTCTCTACTCAAGATATATGTGCATCAACATTAAAAAACAGTACATTATTGTAAGGGATCCACAAACACAATTCTACAAGTTTAATTGGTTAAGTGTTTATGGATTCCATCTAATGTAGTCGGCTTCGAATTTAAATACATGGTATATATATTGGTACACTAATTGGCCCTTGATTACTTGCATTCTCTTGTTGGGCCGAAAAATGTAGAGCAGGACGGTTAAAGATACATTCTTGTGAATTTGATGTATCTTTTAATTTTCTTTTTGCAGGTTTCTGATTTACTTGGGAAGCACACAGATCTTATGGAAGGATTCAGTGCATTTCTGGAACGCTGTGAAAACATAGGTAGCTTTTAGATTACGTTGCTGGCTGTTATATTTTATCTTCTTTTTTCTCTTTGAGAACTACTTTTATCGTCACTAACGTATCTTGTTTGCAGATGGGTTTCTTGCCGGTGTTATGGACAAAAGTATGTGTCACTACTTGTTCTGTTTTATCTTTGTCTACACATCTCTTTAATGTAACTTTAAACAATTGTGCACTTAGAATGGAACCATCTCATCATTTCACATGCTGGTGGGTTGTTAAATCATGTCTCTGAGTTTTATTCTAGCATGTCTTGTAATCTGACTAAACATTCTGATCATGGCAGAAGCTTTATGGAACGTTACCAAATCAACCAGGACAGAGGAGAAAGAAAGGGAGCATAGGCGTGAAATTGATGCTGGTAAAGAGAAGGATAGGTACAAAGAGAAGTATTGGGGGAAATCTATACAAGAACTTGACCTCTCTAACTGTCAGCGCTGCACTCCCAGTTACAGACTTCTTCCTGATGATGTAAGTCTATCGTGTCTTATGTTTTTTCTGTTATGAAGCAAGTTGCTTTCATGTTTTGACAGTTTGTATTTGGTATTTGGTCTTCTGTAGTATCCGATTCCATCAGTAAGCCAGAGATCAGAGCTTGGTACTCAAGTACTGAATGATCTCTGGGTATCTGTGACTTCTGGTAGTGAGGATTACTCATTCAAACATATGCGTAGAAACCAGTATGAAGAGAGCCTGTTTAGATGCGAAGATGACAGGTAAAATATTAAGCATTAAAAAGAACTATATATATATATATATAGGGTCACATTCAGGGGAAAACCGCAAAAAAGGTGAAAAACTGAGGGACACTTGGTATGCACATGTGCATAAAAACCATAAAAACCAAGAAACAACTTCAGTTATTTGTATGCACATGTGCATACCGTTCAGATGAATGGTTACAAGAGTGTTCTTCAGTTTTCATTTTTTTGGGGGTTTTCCCCTGAATCTCCCTCTATATATCTACACTAAAGGATTCTGGCAAGTTATCAATTCATGATATGCCTTTTTCCACTGATTTTATGTTGCACCATCCTCTTTCACTTGTATACATCAAATGAAGTAACTACACATATTTTTAATTCATTTTATGATTCTTCTAGGTTTGAGCTAGACATGTTGTTGGAGTCTGTGAGTTCAACTGCTAAACGTGCTGAGGAATTACTAAACAGCATTAACGACCGCTCGATTGGTTCAGAGGCTCCCATTCGTATTGAGGAGCACTTTACAGGTGATTAACAGACTCTCCGTTGCCAGCGTTATGCAGTTCAATTGCATGAAAGGTTTATGCAGTTTTATAGTTTGCTCTTATATTATTAATTGTTCTTATGAATACCTGTAGCTCTGAATTTACGCTGCATTGAACGTCTATATGGCGATCATGGTCTTGATGTGATGGACACACTGCGTAAAAATCCAACCGTTGCATTGCCTGTTATATTGATTCGCCTGAAGCAGAAACTAGAGGAGTGGACAAAGTGTCGATCAGACTTTAACAAGGTCTGGGCTGATATTTATGCGAAGAACCATTACAAGTCGCTTGATCACCGGAGTTTCTATTTCAAGCAACAAGATTCAAAGAATTTGAGCACGAAATGTAAGTGAATATTGTTGTTCTTGCTCTCTCGATGCAATTGTCATCATGGCTATTGCTTCTCCCTTTGAACTAGATACTTGGTTTCTACTGTCGGTAGATCCAAGTTTTGCAGATTTACTGTTGCTTTTTTAATTATTAAAAAGCCTTTGCTGTTCTTTATGATCAGGCTTAGTGGCTGAGATCAAAGAAATAAAAGAAAAGAGCCAAAAAGACGACGATGTGCTCCTTCGCATTGCTGCTGGGAATAGACACTTTATTATGCCAAATCTTGAATTCGAGTTTACCGACAAGGATATTCATGAAGACTTATATAAACTTATTAAGTATTCATGCGAAGAGATTTGCCCGACCAAGGAACAACTGAACAAAGTATTGTGGCTTTGGACTACCTTTTTGGAGCCAATGTTAGGTGTTCCTTCTCGGCCTGACGATTCTGATGGTGTGGAAGATATCGGGACATCTAGGCATGGTGATGCCAAAACTGAAGGTATGCCTGCCGGTGAGAGTGATGGAAGTCCAGGTGCGGATAGTGGTACCTTTAATCTTAAGCAAGGAAAACCAGTCAGCAATGGAGATGACAACACTTCACCAAAAAAAGTAGATTCAAGCAAGAACATCTTGGTAAATGGAGGTACTTCGTTGAAAGAAGATGGATCGAGACTAGAGAAAGAGGTTAGGAACACGAGTGTTGGGGATAAAGCGTCTGGCTCCAATCGGCCCTCTGCTTTAGCTGAAAGAGCGACAGATTCTGGTCCAGTAGTTGGTCTTGTAAATGATAACATTGTTTCCAGAATTAGCACAGAATTATCTGGTGGGTATTTTTGTCTTTTGACATCTATGATATTTGTAAACATGACTCTACATTTCTCAGTATTCATATGCCATTACTGAACCAAATTTCTTGAAATGATTTTCTAGGGCGTGATGCGACTCCTTTTAGACCAAATAGTGTTTGTGAGGACGTCCATGAAGCCAAGTCAAATATCGATGAAGTTCCTTCATCTCAGGTTTAACTTTATCAATCTACTCATTCAGATCCCTTTCATTTACACATTTTGCCACTTTCACTTCTGCAATTATTGTGTTCTGTTGTACGAATTCTCTCATATCTGGTATATCTATTCTATTTTACAGCACACTGATATCTCAAGACCTGCAACATTGGCAAATAGAAGTTTCGCGTTGGCAAATGGAAGTTTGGCTAAAGTAGCCAATGTTCTGCGATATGATGAACGTTCTGCCGAGCCTTCCAAATTTGAGAAAGAAGAGGGCGAGTTATCACCCAATGGTGATTTTGATGAGGTTGATTTTGCTGCCTATGGAGATAGTGGATCCCATGCTAAAGCAAAGCATAGCGCGGAGAGCTCATTCTATAGAGCTGCGAGAGAAGAGGCGCGTCAGGATGGTGGAAGGGAGATTGACGCAGATGCTGACGACGAGGACAGTGAGAATGTTCCAGAAGGTGGTGACGATGTGTCAGGCAGTGAGTCTGCTGCTGATGAATGCTCGAGGGAAGAGCATGAAGAAGACGGAGACCGGGATGATCTTGATTGTAAAGCAGAAAGTGAAGGAGAAGCAGAGGGAATAGAGGATGGAAACTTTGTTGGTGGAGATGGCACATCATTGCAATCTTCAGAGCATTTTTTGATGACAGCAAAACCACTGGCAAAGCGTGTGACTTCTCCATCACATGATGGTGGGAAAAAAGATTGTAATGTCTTCTATGGAAACGAAACCTTCTATGTGCTTTTTAGGCTCCACCAAGTAAGAATACAGTTTCCGTCATATTTATTCTTGAAATTATAGTACTATTTCCCCAAATTTTATTTTATTTATTTTATGTTGCCAGGTATTATATGAAAGACTATTGTCGGCTAAACTTAATTCAACATCTGCTGAGATGAAGTGGAGAGCTACGAAGGACACTTCCCCACCTGACTTGTACTCTAGGTAATTCAGTTCCACATATTTATTTTTACAAAGAATCTTATAACAAATATTTCTTCTCACTAGGATGTCATTGTATTTTGCAGATTTATGAGTGCTCTATATAATCTACTTGACGGATCTGCTGATAATGCAAAATTCGAAGATGATTGCCGGGCAATTATTGGAAATCAATCTTATATGTTGTTTACTTTGGACAAGCTGATTTATAAGCTTGTCAAACAGGCATGCAACCTACATTTTGGTATTACACTTAATAGTCATTTCTATTAGGAAAAGGTTCTGATTACTCCTTTCTGGATGCAGCTTCAAAATGTTGCAGGTGATGAAACGGATAACAAACTTCTTCAGTTATATGAGTATGAAAGATCTCGAAAGCCTGAGAAATTTATTGATTCTGTATATTACGAGAATGCACATGTCCTCCTCCATGATGAGAACATATACAGATTTCAGTGTGTAAGTTCTCTCCCTCTCCTGCTTCATTCTTTACCATTTTTTGGCATGCAAGTGTTTTGTTATATTTATATTTTCTTCCCTACATTTGCAGTCATCTGGTCCATCTTGTTTAGTCATCCAGCTGATGGATGATGGGAATGAAAAGCCTGAAGTGGTTGCGGTTTCCGTGGATCCTAATTTTGCAGCTTATCTCCACAATGACTTTCTTTCAATTGTGCCTGGGAAAAAGGAATCTGGCATTATGATGCAGAGGTAATAATATTCTCTCTGACTCAAAATAAATGAGCCCTTTGCTCAGAATGTAAATAACATATGAACCTTGATTTGTGGTGTAGCACATGAGTAGCCATTAGTACATTATCCGATGTTTATCTAAAGTAATTATTTTGATAAGCATTGTGGTCTTTTACGAACACTCAAAAGACCATCTAATATATAGAAAACAATCAACTGTTATGCATGAAATTTGATTAAACACTTTCCTATGACACACACTTGATTAGCAGAAAATGGTTATTATGATAATAAATGCATCAAGAAGAAAAAGTTAAGAATCGTACCAGGTTTGTATTAAATACACACACACAACATATATATATATATATATATATATGTGTGTGTGTGAAATAAAGAACTACAGTAATAATATATAAGTTTTGTTCGCATCCAAGAGGATCATTTTGTTTGCAACAGAACCCAAAAACCAAAAAGCAGATTTCTTTGGGAATTAGGATGGAGGGATGTGGACTGAGTGCTATTTATTAGGTTCACATGATGATAGGATTCTAATTACATGCAGAAATAAACGCCAATTCTCAGACATGGATGAATCTTCTGCTATATCGGCTGCCATGGAAGGTGTTCATGTGGTTAATGGGTTGGAGTATAAGATGTCTTGCAGCTCATCAAAGGTACTTATTATCTTTTATGTTACTGGCTGTATGCACTTCTCATAAATACTTTGCGATTCATGGAGCATGATTAAACTTCTCATGTGCATCTGCTTTTTCTGTTTTGTTTCGGAATATGCCATTGTTCCCTGTTTTTGCCCTTTTTTTCTTTAAAAGCGGCTTCTATCTATTTGTTGATGCAGAATCAAGAATGTCTTATCACTCCCATCTTGAACTCCTCAAATAAATAATACTTATTCTGGACAAGGCTAAGAGATTTTTTCTTTTGTGTGGGCACACAACTATTATATGATCTAACAGAGCCCCTGCCCTTAGGGCGGTGAATTGGACATTCTCTGTCTACTTCTCTTCTTGTTGTGTTCTTGAATCCTATCTTTCTTTCGGAAAACTTTGCAACATTTCATCTTTGATGTTCTGAAAAACGTATTTCCTTTCATTGTTGCTTCACATCCTCTTGTCTAGAAAGATCACAATAGTGATTTTGACATGATTTGTCGTCATAGTTGTTGATTGTATGCTGAATCCCATCTCAAGGGTAGGGATCTATAGAGTCAATAATTCACCTCTACCAAGGATAAGGGCATGGTTGTTAGCAGCTTAATGGGAGTCACGGCTTATTTGGTGAGCTATACATGACTGTTTGGTAGTGGCTTAATGATTTAGAAAGTGGTTTATTCAGTAAGCTTATAGGGAGGAGCTTTATGCAGAAAGCCAAGTTGTTTTTCCAAACTTGCCCCTCCCAATTAAAAAACATGCTCATTCCATCTATGAAAAGCCCTCCCAAACAAAAACCTTCCCAATCTATACAGACAGATTAATCCACACCGACTGCGTTATCCATACAGGACTTAATGGAAAACCAACCATACATCCCCCAAGGTTTGTCTCTACAAGGAACGATTGGTTATCAAGAGAATACATTTAAGTTAAAGAAAGAAAGCTTGAATTGATAAACTACAATTATAAGTAGCAAATCCGTTTGTGCAGCGAACTAAAAACTGTAAGTTAACTGCATGAAGTAACATGGATTTGTGGAATCTCATGAAGAGGATTACTCCTGGTTTTTTATGTAATAGCAGCCTTTGAATTGTTGAGATTTTCATCATGAACGAAAACCAAAAAGATATGTCTAGTGAAACATCTATTAAACTATTGTTAGATATCGGAAACACAAATAAAGGACAAATCAATAGGAGTCATAAATTTATTAGGAGTCATAAATTTATTAAGATCAATGCAATTTTATCATGTATGTTATTTGCTATCGTTTTTTACTCACTACAAAAACATAAATTACAGTGGAAATTGGAGAAGAGTTAAACCAACTGCAACCTTGGCTTCATTGTCCCCCAAGAGTAACCTTGAAAGCTTAAGTCTCTCATTTTCACTCGTCCCCTCAGTCCTCATGGTGTCCAATTGCTTAGCATGTGAAAAATCGAATATAAGGCTGTACTTGCTGCTGATGCTTATAGGATTCAAAATTTGTAGAACCTTGATGTCTCTCAAGTCTTCTAGAAGATATAGTAAATAGTCTAGTTTCCGAAACAATCTTGACAAAATAGAGAATGCCTTGAAATTCCATATAATGACACATCCCATTCAACCTTCTAATGGATGAGTGTATATCAAAACAAATTGTAACCTTTTCAAACACAGCGAAAAAACTGTTTTAGGTGTAGAAAACTTTTACATAAAGAAACCCTATACGGATCCAGTGACTTTTAAACGAATCTAAACAAACCATAGAGTATTTAGATTATTACCTTTTAGATTTGTTGCAGGTTTTGACGGAGCACTAGAAACCAAAATAGCTTTTCTCTACTGTAGATCCTCACACGAACATGCTTTGGCCTACATGGTGTGCTAGCCCAAAACCCTGAAATCTAGTATGTGTTTTACAGAAAAGAAAGAATAGGCTTCTTTTCTGTTTTATTTGATAATTATTAAATCTAAAAGATCAACTTTTCAGGCTTGTGTCTAACTTCTTATTTATAGTTGGCCTATTTGAGTTATGAGCAGACCATAGTACCCAAACACGGGTTGGGCTTGTGATCGTTGTACGCCCATTTGTGTATACGCCCATTAAGTGTAAATAAATGTTTCATTTAATTTTATTAATCATAATAAATTTATATGTAAACATATTTACACATAAAACCCTATAGTTATCATAATTACACTTTTAACACATACTTCGGTTATTCTGCTAGAATAACTATTAATATTCAACATGACATAATTTGGGTTTTGGTTATCCCATAATCATATCGAAGCATATGTATTCTTCATATGCGATCGTATAGGTTTACATTCTTCTTGGCGATATTACTATGATACATGTCGTGGGCATATAAAAACTTACAATGAGCTTATATGGCATTTGTTTTATTATCCTCTCGAAAGTTGCAAGGGTCCAGGCGTATGAATGTTGTGCTGTGTCACAACCTCCCATGTCTACATTTTGATTCCAACTTAGATTACAATGATGTTGGCGAACTTCATTTACGCATAATTTTGGTTTGTTTTTGTTTAAATGTGAATAAGGGTGTGGAGTGAAATAAAAGCATGTTGATAAAGTTTAATCTGTGTGTGTGGCTTCTAATCAGTTGAGTGGTGGCAGATCTCGTACGTTCTCGATACCGAAGACTTGTTGTTCCGCGAGCGAAGAAAAAGAAAAAAAAGAAAAGTCTCAGGAATGAGCAGCAGTAGCAGATCATCATCATATTGGCATCCACAATCAAGAGTACAACGATTTCACAGATTTTTAGCATTATGATACAACACTCTATTGAAGGTACATTTATTGAAATACACCCACCCCCAAATCCAAATGTCAAAAATACCCCCCCTCAGCCAGAAGCAATATTACAATAAAGATTGCATCTTTTTTTTGGTTGTGTTGTAGAATCTTGGTGGCATAAATTATGGTGAGAACAAATGCAACAAATGGGTTTATAAAAACAATGGGATATGAGGAGGCATGAGGAGTTGTGTAAATAGGGAGGGTTTGGTTTGTGGTGATCATCTAACTGCTTCTTTCTTGTTTTTTTCTTTTGGGGTTTTGTGTAACAATTTGTGTCCAATAGAGGATGATATATTTTTTTTAATGGTGGAAGGAAGGGTTGTTATTGCTGCATGAAAGAAGGGAAGTGTTGATGTTGAAAACAGCAAGTACGTACAGGCATCAGCTAATGCTATTGTAGTAAAATGTAATCTCACATATATTATTTTGGTCTCAAGAGTTTTGATTAATTGTCTCCCCTTCTTTCTTTCTTTCTTTTTATACAAATCTTGCAATGACTTCTAATCGAGTGTCTCGGTTGTTTCTATCTAATCATGGTTAAATGTCTCCAATGATTTTAACAACGATAAAAACTTACTGAGAGATCAGTTTACCAAAAATTCTTAAATTAAGAGCTAATTTAAAATGTGGTAAACTCGTAATTAAATGAAAGGTTTTGTCATTTTATTTAAAAATGTAAGAGCATCTTCTCTTCGACAGAGAAAATCCAATTTTTGTTCTCTTCAAGGCTCCAACAGTTTTTCCTATCTTAGGAACTGTTTAGTTTGTATATTCTGAAGAAATCTGATGGAATTGGAATGTTAAATTCCATTGACCAAATCTCATTTTCTCGTTTAGTTCATTTTTTTTTATTGAAAGAATCTTCAAAATCACACAAATTCTATAAATAGAGGAATTTAACATTTCTTAGTAACTACATGGTATTTTGATGGAATGAAATTCTCTATTTTCATAATATCAAATATGTCTTACCCTAATATACTCTAATCTCATAAAACCCAATATGACCATCGTCAACCATCGTCGATCTGAATCACCGCCGACTACTGCCATCTGAACCGCCGCCGACCATTACCATCTGAAGCACCGCCAACCACCACCACCACCACCACCACCACCGACTACAACCAATCTGAACCAGCCGACCACCACCGATCTGAACCACCATGGACCACCATTGGAATCTGAACCATTGTCGACTATCGCCATCTGAACCAAAACGGACCACCATCGGAATCTGAACCATTGTCGACTATCTCCATCTGAACCGAAACAGACCACCATCAATCTGAACCACCGCCAACTACTACCGATCTGAATCACTGTCGGCCACCGTCGATCTGAACAACCACCGCCGATCATAATCGATTTGAACAACCACCAATCTGATCCATCGTCGATTTGAACCATCTCCGATCTGAATCACTAACAACCACCAGTGACTACCACTGATCTAAATCACTGTCGGACACCGCCGACCACCACGATTTGAACAACCATCAATTTGAACCACCGTCGCCACTGTTCATCTGAACCACCGCTGACCACCTTCATCTGAACCAACATGGACCATCACTGATCTGATCTATAATAAAAGTGAAACTATAGTGATCCTACTTGTAATTATTTTGTTTAAGGTACATGATCCATCCCTTAACCACAGGGATGAAACTTGTAATTAGTTTGTAAAATTTATAACAATTACATGATTTATATTTTAAATTTTATCACCATATTTCTAATTAAAAGATTAATAATATCTATACTATATTACAAAGCATTTGACAAAAACTTTTAAAACCATTTTTTATGCATGAAGTACTATATATTGATGTACTTAAAATTTAATATTACAAGTGAATTATGCATCTTGTACAACTTATTGAAGCTCCATATTTGAATTCGTATAACTAACTGCGGATAAACATAATCAAATAAAGAATAAATATTTCATTTTAAAATATAAAAAATCGAAAATATAATTAGAATAGTTATTGAGTTCTAACATAATAATTAATTATTATCTTTA